TTATGAAGTTCTGGCTGAATTGGCTGTATTGGCTGATTCTGCTGATTTAAGAAAAAATCATTTTTAAAATATATTTCATTAATAAAATGAAGAAAAAAGTATATGTAAAAATAGCTAAAATGATCATCTACAGTAACTTCAGCCCATACAGCCAGAAAAGTAACTTCAATTTTACTTTTTCTGCTTATTACACAATTCAGCGCGCGAAAGCAAAAGTTACGTGTTTGGTGAAAAAGTTGTCTGATAAGCCTGATAAGCTTGAAAATAGTGTTGCCAGGCCTCTATATATAAAAATAATAATAAGTATATGTGCTAAATTGTGTAAACTAAATCTATATATCAAATACGTATGTAAAGAATAATACACTTTTATATAATAAACTTTGTTTAAAAAATGAGAATAATACACTCAAAACTTTTTGCGAAGGATTACTACTTTTTTAGGCTTAAAACTAAATATAGGCCTGAACCTGTTTTTTTAATTTAAATTCTGGGATGATTACTACTTTTTTATGATGTTACAAGAGATATTTGGTGTTTGACATATTCATGAATTTAGGACTAAAACTGTTTGATTGCTTAAATATTTACTTTTGTATGTTTTATGGTCCTTTGAATAAATAATGTACTATGAAGGATGTTTACATTAACAAGTAGGATTATAATGTGATAAACCGATTGCATTTATCTACAAGTAAAGTCTGGTCTGGTTTGGTCTAATCTGATATGGTCTAATTTGGTCTGCATTGGTCTGGTCTGATCTGGAACTGAAAATGATCTAAAGGAAACATTCTAAGTCTTCATATTTCTATAGTGATTTGAAACAATTACAACTCTACTAAAAGCAAAATGAATAAATAAAAACTAATTCAAAGCGTGAAATAGGCAAACGGTTACCTGTAGATAAACCGATTCCCCATTGGTGTGGATACGGTAAATAAAAACTACCCGAGCGGTGAATGGGGCGGTTTTGGGGCAAACATTTTATCCTACGGGGCGGTTTCGGTTTTATGTTATTCGTCCCCGATCCGCCCCGTTGCCATCCCTAGGAGAAATATAGTTCACAAACAATTAAAAAAATAATGTACCCTCGTATGAATGCTGTTTTATTCATTTGTATTTCTATGGTTGTTCTTCTGTTAATTTTGACAATGATGTAATAAGTGATTTCTTCTGAAATTAATGTTGCAAGGGCCTATAAAATATCATGTTATTATTCAATTGCCTTTGATTGCATTCATCGACTTTATGCATGGTTTTCTCAAACCCCATTATGTTTTTCAACTCGTCTATGACGACATTGTTGATCCGCCCTCTTCCAGAACCGCCGCCAAAGGAGGAAAGAGTGGGACTTTTGACAATCGAGATCAATTTGCGTGTACAATGAAATCGGGCTAGGACGCGACATAAGTGAAAATTGATGGCTTGTTGTTTTATTATTTCCATATATCGCTGTTGTTTTTTGTAGTTATGCCTATTTCACGCTTTGAATTAGTTTTTATTTATTCATTTTGCTTTTAGTAGAGTTGTAATTGTTTCAAATCACTATAGAAATATGAAGACTTAGAATGTTTCCTTTAGATCATTTTCAGTTCCAGATCAGACCAGACCAAATTAGACCATATCAGATTAGACCAAACCAGACCAGACAAGACTTCTACAATTATAAAATACACAAAGACCATACATTTACCCGATCAACCCCGATCAGACCAGTTTAGACCAGACCAGATCAGACCATATCAGCAAATTTCAATCCCAAAAAACATCATTACATGATGATGTTACACTTCAAATTGTCCATTACATGGTTAATGACTTATGCGGTTCATTTGTGAAAATTCTCTAAATATGACTAAAACAAAAAATTAAAGTTCATAAATATCATCATCATTGTTTTATTCTAAAAATATGACTTAATCACTCTTATCTTGGAAAACTTTAATCTGAATTTAAACTTACTTTTAAGATTGAATTGACTGAAGTTATTTTAGAAGAATATTCAACGACTGGTATGTCAAACATAATTAAATCATACAATCAACTTTTTATCAAAGACGTGTCACATTTTTTTAAGATCACCTTAGCTATATTTGGATAAATTCTTTTTTATTTCATTAACATGATATGTTTTAAATTTAATGTTTTTTAATTTAGCCGATTCAATCAATTTCAGTGTCAAGGAGTATTGTGAAGAAGTATTGTGTTGATAGTTGATTTTTGGAAGCTTAGGACATACAGTGATACAGTATGTCCGTTTGTGTTTAGATCTATTACCTGATGGGGCCGAATGTGAGGATGTAATTATCTTCTGCAAAACTATAAGGGTATGTTTGGTTCAAGGAATGTCAGATTACCATGGGAATGTCAGATTACTGGGTATGTTAGATTGATGGGAATGTATTCAATTTGTACCCATTTGTGTTTGGTTGAGACTAAAGGAATGTGACATTAACTTGTTTGGTTAAATCATATATTATACAACAAACTTGGTGAATTACTTCAATGCCCTTAAAAATATTTTCTCGTAATACCCTTATTACAATCGTCAGGGTCCCGAGAAAGAATGTCTTCATCGATAGGAGCCTACGTTTTTCATCGATCAAAAAATCAATGGACCACATGTCACCAATAGAATGACCTGATTATTCATGGACTTAAGGGGGCAATTAATTAATTAGATTAGGGGTAGAAAATTAATGGTTGATCCTACTTAGGAAATATTAGATATTGACTCCTATTTAAGGAAAAGTTGCATGTTATATTTCACTCCTACTAAAGGTAATTCACTATCAACCACTAGTGAAAAAAATTAATGTTTGATCCTTAGCTTCTAAATCATTCTTACTTTATTCTAAATTTATTATTCACTATCAACCACATTAACTCCTTTTTTCTTAATAATAACACCACCTCCTCTTATATTAAGTTATCATGATCATCTAAGTTTAAAAGTTCAATATAAGTTATTATGATTAAATTACTACCGTAATTTAATCAGTAGTGATTAAATCACTACCCACATTTTTGTAAACAATCTTTATTTTAGTCATAAATATGTAATTTATTCATTAATTTTTAATAAATCAAATTCAAAAGTATACATTTTGTATTTCTTAATCCAATACGGATGGGTTTGTTTTAAAAAATTCCAATGCGGATAGGTTAAGAAAAATAAAAAATAAATACTTTGTATGCTATTTAAACCATTTTGGTTAAATGAGAATGAGTATTTTTGGAATAAAATTCACTCCCACCAAGGAATGTAAGATAACCTAAGAGTTGAGTGGGTTTGAGATGGAGGGACATCCTATTACTTTCTCTTCTTTTTTGGAATGTGACATTCCCCCCATAAAAATAAACCTACGAACCAAACACAGATATTTCAGATTTCGGGCATGAGATTCCGGCCTGCATAGGTGATTACCTTGAACCAAACATACCTAATTGTTTTAGAAAAGAGTTGGAACTGTATATTCGAATTTGTGGGTTTTACTTTATCTTTTGTAACAGTCAACTGGCATCAATCAATAATTTTGCAAGTTTCGATTGCTTATTATGGTCAGGTCTCATCAACGAATGTCTTTTGAAATGAAAACGGGGCGTGTTTTCTTTGCTCGTTGAAGTTACTCAAATAAATAAATATAAAACTTTTAACTTTTTGATACATTTTTTCTTTAATATGTCGGGAAAACATTTTCAACAGTCTCACGTTATCCAACTAGTCAAGCCAACCAAATCATATGGGCATAGACTTATTGGTTTAGATATTATTTTAGGAATCATTTTGATGATGTGGATGATTTTATTTTGTGATCATGGATGAGGGGTTGAGATTATTTTATGAGATTATTTGATAAAATAATCTGGTATCGAATTCCAAAGTTGGATTATTTTGAGATTATTTCGAACTTCTAGACATATACTCATAATTATGATGATGACTAGATTTGTAGTTCGTGCATGCTCATGCTCATATCCAAGTTAAATTGAGATCATTAATGAGGAGAAATTTATTGATTTAAAGATTATTTGAGATTATCTTATGTGAAAGTGACATGACAATAATAAACCATGAAAAATCGTAAAGTTGAAGATCATCAATGTGGATGTTCTTAAACCATATTGGAGTTGTTTTCTTTTGCTCGAGAAAAGCATTTTTTGAACTTTTCGTTTTACGAGCCCGTCACATAATATTGAAATTGTTTAAATTAGTTGATTTTACTCAAAATAATTAATTTTTGGTTAGAATGATTTATAATGGAAATATATTCTACTAATAAAATATTGAAAAAAAGAATATTTAAGTGTAAATTATGTCAATCAACCACAATAATATCTCCAAGTCTCCAACTTCACTTATTTAGATTTTTACATAATTCAACGCACGAAATTAAAATTGTCGTGTTCGATGTATGGAAAAACTGACATATATGATTGATAAGACGAAACTGTAGGGGTCACCAAAACAAAGCCCGTTTGGTAGTACTTCAATTTACTGAATCAACCGAATTTGCTAAAAATGATGAAGGTCTAGTGGAAGCTGATGAATTTGTTGAAATGATAGTCAAAATGGTCTTTTTTAAAAAATTTTCATAGCTAAAATGATCTTCTATTGTAATCTTAACTAAGGATGATTTTACTTGGACTGTAATTTGATGGTCTGATCTGATTTGGTCTGGTTTCTTTGTATTTTATAATTATACCAGTCTGGTCTGATCTGATCTGGGACAAATTAATCCAAGTAAAAACATCCTAATTCAATAAAAAAAAGTAACTTTAACATAAAATATATTTTTTGACATATTTAATGAAAAAATTGATTAATAAGATTAAAATATACGATGGTATTCTCTAAACTACCTTTAATTTAAGCTCAACTACCTTAAATTTCAGCTCATTTCAAATTGCCGTACCCACATAACACATAGTCGGTATTACGAAGTACTCCGTATATTATACCGAGTATGTGTGATCACGTAGCTATAAAAATTCGGATTCCCATTTATAATTTGACTTTAGAGAAGCGAAGGCAGGAAAAAAGAAAGCGTGGAGTGAGCGGTGTGCGGATACGAACTGTGGTGTCTTAATCTCGCACACAGAAAAGACGAGAGTTAGCCTCCACTTTCCCCTGAAAAAACGAAAGGGTTTTTAAAGCAACAGCAATAGCAGAGCAGCATTGTGTGAGATCAAAGTGGTATCAAAAAACGGAAAATACTCTGAGGTAAGCTGTACGTTCCCTTTTGCTTTTGTTTTTAACAATAAAAGGAAATTCTGGTATCAAAACCTTTATTTCTGGTTCTAGCAAAACGGGTAAGCTGAAAGCTTGCCTTTTTCTAGCATGTATCTGCAACTATGGCTGCTTCCACAAAAACTTACATAAAGCACCCGTCTTTACTCTCGCTTCGTTGGTTTATGTGAGACCATATGTTTATTCTTCTTCTTCTTACTCCATAGATTTGTGCATGTGAGGTGGGTTCACTTTCTTTCTCTAGTTTACATTTTTTGGGTGATCATTCCAATGACGCTTCTCCCTCCTCTATGCACATGAAAAAGCTCTTTTTTTTTGTTCTTCAAGGGTTGATGTAAATTTCAAGTCTTGGGTTTCGTCGAGCTTAACTGGGAGAGTTGCCATTGGGTTACGTTATGTGTCTTGAAAATAGCAAGTTTTCTCCCTTACCCATGTTTTAAAAACTGAAAATTTTTCGTTTGATGAAATATTTCTCTGGGGTTGCCTCAGATTTTGGTTTTTTTTTTGCTGAAGTTTGGTCCTTTCTTCTTATATGGCTATCCAATTCCTGATTTTCTCTTTTTGTTATCTACTTTTTTAATACGTTGTATTTCAATTTTGCAAAATCTGTGGGGAGGTTCTTGTTGTCTTCTGCTGTGGTGGTTTCTTAAACTTTGAACACCAAGATGCTGTTTTCCATTGCAGGTGCTTTCAATGCTTATATGTATTTAAAAATAAACGCACAAATCACGCTGGATATATACATGTGATTTCTATATGAGGTGGATCTTTGGAACTTTATACCACCAATTGCAGGTTTATTTATTTATTTATTTTTTATTTAATAATATTTTAAGATTTGGAATTTTTGGTGCTGGAAAGAAACGAGATTAAAGAGCATTATAATAATGTAGGTGAGAAAAGGTAATAAGACAATCGCGTTTCTGCTTTGGAGAATAATTTTTAATTTAGTCTTGAGAATCTTCCGGTTATGTCTCTGGACCTGACTCGTTTACCCATGGTCAAGGAAATAATTTTTCTTTCTCTGTCTTTCATCCCATTAAAGTCAATAATTTTTTTGAAGATAAAACCAATCTAGTCATTTTTTGTATTTTTTTGTTTGTACAAAACAGTTGCATTTAATTTTTCTCTTCGATTCTCCCTTTGTTTACCTGTAAAGTTTCCTCTGCATTTATCAATTTTAAATATTGGGTCATTCAAAGAATTACATTTAGACATTTGAGTTTTTCAGTAATGTCCATAGAATTATTTGATTTTACAGTTACAGGTTGAGTAATATTAGAGTATATGACTGAATGTTTCACGGAAGAGAATAATCTTAGAGCTTGCAAATATGAAGTTCATGAAACTTGGATCCAAACCTGACTGCTTTGAATCAGAAGGAAATAACACCAGGTAATTTTTTTGCATTATTAAATTTTGTTTTATGTGAAAACTGTTTACTAATTTGAATTACCTGGGATTCAGTTGCTCTTTGTGCAGTTTTATTTTATACCTTTTATTTATCAATCGTTCCTCTTCTAACTTAAACACAATATACTCAGTTTATCTTTTTCTTTTTTCTTTTTCGCTGAGTTCATTTCTTCCTTCAGTTAATCACCCAAAACTGAGAAACCATCTTGCAGATATGTTGCTTCTGAGTTGGCCTCCGACATCGTTATTTTCGTAGGAGATGTGAAGTTTTACTTGCATAAGGTATGGTGACAATGGATTACTGCTTGTTTATTTTAAAATAATTGTTATATCAGCAGCTTTTCTACTTTAGATAAGTCAAAAACATTAACTAAAATAAGGTGAAATAAAAAAATCAAGCATGCTTCTGTTTTTTATTTTATTTTATTTTCATTTATATGTGAACAAGTGTATAAAATATGCATATGGCTCATTGCGGTTCTTTCAAAAGCACACATTGTTGTAACAATCCTTAATTTTTTTAAGGATAATGCTTCCGTCACTACGTTTGTTCAGGGATCGCCTTATTTGAGGAATTTTGGTCATTGTATTGTGTGGTTTTCATTTTCTGGACTCAATGAGCTTACTATATTTCTAAACTGTATATAAACTTTCCACACTGCACTATAAATACCACAAACTCCAAGTTCTTATCTTGTCTATTGATCCCCGGAATGGGTTTTGATGCCCATGTTTTGATTCAAAAAGTCCAGGAAATTCTTAGATTTTATCAAATCTTGAATTGGGGACACTTATATTAATGTGTAGTGTGAGTGATTGCCTAGGATTGAATCAATGGGATTTTCCCGACATGATTACATGATCATTAAAGTCACAATGAAGATACACAACCATGGTACATTTTTCCGACATGATCACTATACTCAACTGCATACAACCATGGTTGCTACATGTTCAAAGTCACATTTTTGTCCTTATTTATCATTCAATTTCTACTAACGAATCGATGGCTTTTTTATAATATTACTACAATTACTGTGAAAATGATCAACAGTCGCTGCGGTGTAAGATTGAATATCATAATGGTCATTAAAGTCAACTTTGTAAAACACCCCTATAATCTATGTGGGTTAAACTTCACATTTTTGTCATTAGTTCTAAATCCAAGTACCAAATCAACCAAATCGATGGATAAAAGAAAATTAACATCATACTGATCAACTGTTGTGGTGCAGTTCCCTCTTCTCTCCAAGAGTGCTCGATTGCAAAAACTGGTTACAAACTCAAATGAGGGGCCTGGCGATGAGGTTTATATCCATGACATCCCAGGTGGGCCCACCGCATTCGAAATATGCGCCAAATTCTGTTACGGTGTGGCCGTCACGCTGAACGCCCACAACGTGATTTCAGCACGTTGTGCTGCTGAATACCTGGAAATGAGCGAAGATGTCGAAAAAGGAAATCTGATGTACAAGATTGATGTTTTCTTGAACTCAAGCATTCTTAGAAGCTGGAAAGATTCCATTATTTGCCTCCAGACAACAAACTCTCTCCTACCCATGTCTGAGGAGCTGAAGTTGGTCAGCCATTGCATTGAGGCTATAGCTTCGAAGGCATCTACTGATCCTTCAAAGGTGGATTGGTCCTATATGTACAACAGGGAAAAGGTTGATTCTTTAAGAGCACGCAGGATGGTGCCGAAGGATTGGTGGGTTGATGACTTGTGTGAACTTGAAGTGGACCTATATGAGCGTGTTATAAATTCTATCAAGAACAAAGGGATCATTTCCGATAAAGTCGTTGGAGAAGCTCTGAAAGCTTATGCTTCAAGAAGGCTCCAGAAGAATAATGGTGATGCTCAGTCGATTTTGGACACCATAGTGTGGCTTCTACCTGCTAAGAAAGGTAGTGTGACCTGTGGGTTTATGCTCAAATTGCTGAAACTGTCCCTTTCACTTGATGATTCTGGCGGGCCAACTACTGGTGAACTGGTTAAAAGAATTGGACATCAACTCGAGGAGGCATCCGTGATTGATCTTCTTTCTCTTAGGGCCTCAGACGTTGTGAAGGAAATAGTGAAGGAGTTTATGTTGCGTGGCCGTGGCCCATCGGGAGAAACTGGGAACGAGATATATGAAGTTGGAAAGCCGCCTGTGGGGTATTTATCAGAAGCTTCAAAAGTGAGGGTGGCAAATTTAATAGATGGGTACCTTGCTGGAATTTCAGAAGAAGATCCTAACCTTCAACTGTCGACTTTTATTGGGTTGGCTGAGATGGTCTCAGGTTTTCCCCGCCCTTCTCATGATGGACTTTACCATGCTATAGACATTTACCTCAAGGTAAGATTTCCATGCTCCATTTTCAGAATCTGAAACCCTTAGCCAAGCATGTGGTGTATGCTTGAATTATGCATGTTATTCTTGTGACTAATGATTCTTCATCATCTTTATTTAGATGTGCTTTTGTTAAAAGCAGTCTTATGAGAAGTGTTTTTTTAAATAAATATACTAAATAGAAGCAGGACATAATGTTTGACAATTCGTTGACAGCGTACTTCTGATTAGAATTTCCAAACGAAATATTTATTTATCTCAAATGCACTTTTCAAAGCAACCCCTGTCAAGTATTAACAACGCCTTCCAGAAAAAATCACGTATTTTATTATGCTCTTAGCTCAAACATCATTTTTACATTTTTTACATGTAAAACATTTTTAGCTTTTCCATAAGCACATCCAAACATTTTGCGCAATGGGTCAGTAATATGATCTTTTGGGGCGCCGGGTGCTTCCATGAAAATTATTTTCAATGGAATTACCATCAACCCTTTACCCTTACGTTGAATCTAATTCCTAACCTACCCATGAGAATAATTATTTTCAACTCTTACAAAAGGAAAATAATTAGTGTACATTTGAAACCAAACAATTGGGAATGATCCCATCATTTTCTTATACGTTGTATACCAACATCCCCTTATTGCATCCACATGTAAATTTTACTTTTGTCCCAAAACAAACTCTTGTCTTTCCTATTTTTCCTAAAGAATCTGTTTTTTCCTTTTAAAGAAGTAATTCTGTGGTCGATTTTTTCTGCCCTATAAACATATTTCAACCATTTATTATGAACTGTAAAAATTCAAACTAAGAGTTAATAGTGGGAAAGGCAGGAATAACATAAACATGTATACTTTTCTGATGATGTGCATGATGGATGTATTGCTATAGAAACACCCGGGGATGAGCAAGAGCGAGCGGAAGAGAATATGCAAACTGATGGACTGCAAAAAGCTCTCGGCAGAAGCCTGCAAGCATGCTGTCCAGAACGAGAGACTTCCGATGCGTGTGGTTGTGCAGGTCCTGTTTTTCGAGCAGGCGAGGGCAAATTCGTCTTGCGGATGCACAACTCCTGATCTACCCAAAACTACTACCAACACCTCCTGTGGGGGGAGCTCAAGATCCGTTGAGACAAGTAACACTGAAGAAGAATGGGGCGCTGCTGGTGATGAGCTTAAAGGCTTGAGAGTAAAAAATGCGGGGCACGCTGATAATAAGGCCAAAATGAAAGGGTTGTTGACGTCTAACCGGATCTTCTCTAAAATGTTGAGGTCAAGTAAACGTGGCGGTGTTGGACTGGGGGAGAACAGTGGGTCTGATTCATCTGATAGTCTTGTCTCTTCCACTAACATGGATGAAGCAAAATCAACACTTGTAAGAAGGGGCAGGCATTCAGTTTCCTAGGGTAGTTCATGAATGATCAACAACTAACTTTTTTAGGAGGGTATTCAGTTTTTTTTTGTTCTGGCATGTGCAAGAAACTTGATTTAAGATGAAGAAAACATATTAGTTAGCTGTTGGAGGCTCCCTCCAAGTTTTCCATTCATTGTTTAACAGCTAAACTTTGATGTACAAAGAGATATCCAACTTTTTACTTTTTAGCTCTTTTGCCTCTGTTATTATACTTGAGAGTTGGGATCTATTCGGGATTTCCAGAGCTAGCCCAGAACTCGATGAGAAAAAAGACCAAATGATCACTCATTTTTTTCTGGATCAGAAATGGATCTAAGAATGTTTTTAACTAGATTGATTTCAATCTCACATCAGACCAATCTCAATTTAAATAGATCATATCAAGTTCTATTTCGTCAGTTGTAAAATACACATAAAACAAACACCTATTAGATTAAAACAAATCAAATCAAACTAAAGCAAATATTACAATCCGGTTAAAGACATCATTAGTTGAAATCCAGAATTACTATATGATCCCAACCTGTTTTTAACCCTGATGTTGATATACATGCTGATTTGCTGGGTAACATATTTCGTTGAAAAGCTCAATTAAGGCCCAAACAAACACACTAAAGAAACTCTCTTATTTCGAAATTTAAATTTAAGGTAGACGGCAAACATTTTAAATCCATATAGACCTTTAAAAAAAATTAATTTATCCCTTAATGCCTCTATTCAGTAAATCAGTAACGTTTCAACTGTTTTTAACCAATTGAAAGTAGGCAAGTTCAATCCGATAATAATCTTATTGCATGCCAACCAAGATATGAACTCATTAGAAATAAAATCAACAAAACCTCTCCACCGCTAATGGTGTCACTCCAGCAGATAGATATAATGAGCCAATGATAGTTTCAAAATATGTATAATTAATTGACCCTCAAGGTTCACCAATTACTGCTAAAGTTTGCATAATAATTGTTTCCATTCATTTGGAAATTGAATTCAGTTAAAATGAAGTATGACCAATACAACCATTAGCATTTTTTGGTTTGGATAAGAGCAAGAGGGTCCAACCAAATGCCTAAAGCCTAAGATTAGCTGCACTTCAGTTTAACCGTGTTTTGGTTAATCATAATAGAATGGTTAATGGTTAACCAATATCAAATGATTATTTTTGAGAACTAATAAAACTACAAATAATAAATAACACCTGATCATAATTAAGTAACAGAGAAAGATCTTTATTATTTTCTTTTTATCCATAAATATCCAGAATATAGTTACATCTGGCCATTCCTTCTGCATTTGTTGTCATTTAAGCAACTTTGGTTTGTTCTTAAGGCAAAGATCATAATAAATTTCCTTAAAAAGTAAAACTCATGTCAGTGGTTAATGACATGTAATAATGACCCATTTTCCATGTATGATGGATAATATGTTGTACTGGGTTTAGTAACTTCAATTCGTAAAGGGATGTATGTACAACGGATGATGTATCGAATAATATTGATTCTATTCGCAATTAAATTCGAAAATGTGTATTCGAGTTTGAGTAAGTAAAATATAATCCGAATACAAATCTGTTTTTGATTCGATTAGCTTTCGAATCCGAATGCAAATACAATGAGAACTATATTCAAATATATTCGAATACACACACACATAAATAATTAGGTCCAGCCCCTCCTGTCCGAACCGTCGTCCGAACTCCGCCGTTTGGGGCGGTTCCCGGTGGAATTCTTTGATGATATTTTTTGAGTAAGTTCCTAATCAAGTCTAGTTTATCCACAAAACAATTCAGCTCACAATTCGATCGGAAAGACAATCAAATAATTTATTGAAGTTGACTGCGTTTTCTATGTATAATTTTGCGCAGCTAACTTCAAAAAATCATTTAACTTCCTTCCCGATCGAATTTTGAACTTAAATATTTTGTGGATAAACTAGACTTGATGAGGAACATGCAAAAACATATTCTTCAAAACATTCCACCGGGAACCGCCCCAAACGGCAGAGTTTGAACACCGTCTCTGTCTCCGGCTGGACATGATCATTCCTCTCTCTCTATATATATTAGAGATCTGTCCTAACTCAATTGCAGCTTGATGCTTTGTCTATTTCTTCAATTCGTATCTAATTTTTCATTTTGGCATGTACTCATTGAATTATTTATTATTACTATATTTTTTTTAATAAATTTTGGTAAATGATCCCCGGCATTTACCCCACCGATGTGTGGTTTACCTTCTGGGTTAAAAAAACAAGGGAAAAGGTGCAAATAGGCCCATGTACTAACAAAAAAAGGTCAAATAAGCCCTTATTTAGGATGCTCTGTCCGGCCGTCGTCATTTCGGGTGGTTCCCGGTGGAATTTTTTGATGAAATTTTTTGAGCATCTTATTCATCAAGTCTAGTTTACTCATACCAAATTTCAGCTAAAACTTCAATCGGGAAGACATTCAAATGAATTCTTGAAGATATCTGCGCTTCTAACTGCGCAGTTATGTTCAAGAATTCATTTGAATGCCTTCTCGATTGAAGTTTTAGCTGAAATTTGATATGAGTAAACTAGATTTGATGAATAAGATGCTCAAAAAGTTTCATCAAAAAATTCCACCGGGAACCACCCCAAATGGTGACGGCCGGACAGAGCCTCCTAAATAAGGGCTTATTTGACCTTTTTTTGTTAGTACATGGGCCTATTTGCACCTTTTCCCAAAAAACAAATATAGATTAGAGATCAAGTGCAAAGTCATCTTAATATGCTAACTTACAAACCTAATCCTAGCCATTCATCTAATGCAAATCACCGTCCGTTTAATCCTAGCCATGATTATAGATGTTTGTACAATAGATCATCCCCAAATGTGATCGTTCAGGAAATATCTAAGATGAATGCGACTCAAAAGGATGCGATCAATTCTATAGGATTTGAAGCAATGTTGTAGCTATAGATCCCGGAGTTGCCTGGTAAACTTGGATATTGGATTGTGGACAACTTTGATCCGAGGAGTTGCACATTGAATCTTACTAGTGACAAGAAGGTACATGTGATTGATGAAGATGTTGAAAGTACATTGGGATTCCCTCGTGGAGAAGTAACTGTTGTGAAAAAAGAAAAAAGAAAAATGTGCACTGGCAGATGAATGGAGGGCTTTATTTGGGGGAAAGGAAAAGATTACTCCGACTGAGGTGGCGAATGCAATGATAAGCTGTGAGAATGCAGGGAATTGGTTTTTGAGACACTTTGTCGTGTTATTGATATCTTCAATAATTGAGAACACGGAGAGTGGCTACATAACCTACAAGTTTATGAAGTGCTTAGAAGACACAACAACAATTAAACGAATGAATCGGTGCGAGTGTGTCATCTTAGCACTGATTGATGAGAAGTTGGAATGGGAAGGATCTAAAGACAAATCTTTCTATGGCCCGTTGTTGTTCTTAATGGTAAGTTGATTTTTTATAATGGTATGACTGGTAAGTTGAAATTGCATATATATATTTAACATGTTGTTAATTAAATTATTTTGGAGGTTTTTTATGTTGATAGAATGGTACTCTTTCGAAGAAATGTGACTAGAAACTGGCCGACAATAGTAGGTTGGACAACAACATTACTGGGAGAGAGAGAAAAAACGGAAATAAAAGCGGGAGGTTTTGGTCTAGAATATTTACATGAGAAGATGGGCAAGGAGTTTTAGAGTAGAAGAATGTAGTGCTCAGGAAGATAAGGTGCAACCACAAGTACAAGATGATGCAGGACAGGTTGAAAAATCTTCAAGGCATAACGCAGAAGAGGTATACTTATAATTAATAGATGACATTTTATAGTATTGAATCTAATATGTGTTACTACCTCCGTCCTACTAAGATTGAGACAGAAGAAGGTGACACAATTATTAAGAAAAGTGGGTTTGTGTGGTTTATATTAAATTGATAAAGTAAGAATAAAGTAAGAATGGTTTAGAGCCACACAATCTTTACCAAATTTGGCATGGGACAATTTTAGTGGGACTTCCCGAAAAGGTAAAATGGGACAATCTTAGTGGGACGGAGGGAGTATAAAGCAAGAATTTCTTGAAAGGTTTGCTACAGAAACAAACTTGTTAGCCACAACAACGATTGAAATAATGAACATGCCAGAAGTATTGATTGTGAATGAGAATTTCAAGAAAACAGTGGAGGCTATACAAATAAACTTCTGGGAGTGGCAGAAAAGCAAGAAAAAATTAAATAATGAGACAAAAGCAGAAACCCTTGAGCAACCGTACGTTTTATGATGAAGAAATTGAAAAAATTTGGCCGAGTACAAGAAACATCAAAGCTTTGGTGCAGATGGAGATGGACACAGTGCGAATATTGTGTTACAAACACAAGATGGATGAGCAGCCCATCTTTAGTCTAGGTCTGACTCAAGAAAACGCAAACGAAGCTACATAAAGCGATGTTAATATTTTTGCAAAAAAAAATCCAAGGGAAAAACCTGTATTGGAGAATCATGCATTTGGGAAAGCAACACGAGTAGTAATATAACCAATAATTTTTTTATGAAGTAATTACAAGTTCATGTATTGAGAAAAAAACTACAATTCATGTTTTAGGTGCAACAAGATATGAGTAAAGATGCAGTGGTTGAAGATGTTAATGCAGCCAACTTGTTGAGAGACGAGGTGAAAATTTTGTATAGAACGTATTGAAAATCATTACAAATATGGTTTTTTAATATTATTTATTTATAGGCAATTGAACAGAGTGAAAAGGTAGGAGAAGAAAACATCAATGCAAAATATGTGCAACCACTAATGTAGTGAGGAATAAGGTATGATAATAGTACATTTAAGGTGTGTGTATATAATTTGATGGTATTGGTAGTTTGTACAGGAAGCAAATGCAATAGGAAACATGCAGATAGATAAGAGAATTGCAAGAGCAGCTGCATCACTGAAGTCGCTCTACATAAACAGGGTTGTTAATCCTACCGAAGCTATCACTGCTATGGAACGAGCTGCGGTTTCATGGTTATGTATAAAGAACAAGGCTGATATGTAAGTGGTTGTAGGTATAATTAGTGTAAGAACAAGGATGTTATTGGTCATATTAATTAGTGTAAGACGATTCAAAACAGTTTGAAAAGGAGTAAAAATTACAACATCCTAATTGTGATTGCATATTACAAGTCATTGTATTGCATGTCAACATGAATGAGATTGTTTTCAAGAAGTCATTTTGGGTGCAAGTCACACGTGGAGAGTTGCTGAGCGAAAAAGAAAAGTGCCACATTAAGG